CAGTCCAAAATATTTTCGTCGACCAAGCCACTCGCGATTTTCCGTGACGTTTAATCGATGTTTGCCATCGGGTGTTCGAGGAAGTGGATGAGTCACGGTGTTTGACTCTGACTGAAAGATTAGGCGAGTTTGTAAGTGGATGGAAAATTGAAGTTGATAGTGTTTGCGAATTGTTCAATTCTTGTTTTCAGTCTAGTTTCTTCTGTTGATACCTTGGAAGTTCTGGGTGTGTGGGTGTTGTTAGGGGAATGATGGAATCGTTAGAGGAGAGATAGAGTAGAGGTGGATTGATAGGAAGAACTTCTTGGGGAGGTAAATGTGATTATTATAATTTTTTTTCTTTTGTTTGGAATTATTATTTCATGTTTTGAAAGATATAATATTGTAATAGGTGAGAGGAAGAATAGTGGAAAATAGAGTAATGGAAATAATTATTTTTATGCTTTTATGTACTGAATGAGATTTTGGAATAAGTATAATTGATGATAATAGAAAAGAATGAAATACTGCAAATGTAGTCTTCTTAATATATTAAATAAAGTATTAGGAAAAATAATATCTGTAAATTAATTGTAAAGGTTATTATAATTGTAATATTAATTATATCCTTTTAACTACTGTATTTAATATATTCAGTATAATTATAGATTGACACTTAATTTACTGCTAAACTTTTTAACATATTTATTTATTTATATACTTTCTTATATATTTTTTATATTTACTTATTTATTATAAATTAATTGCAAATTAACTGTAAATTAATTGTAAATATTAATTGTAATATTAATTATATTCTTTTAATTACTGTATTTAATACATTAAGTATAATTATAGATTGATACTTAATTTACTGCTAAACTTTTTAACATATTTACTTACCTCTTATATTTACTTATTTATATACGTTTTTATATACTCTTTTATATTTATTTATTTATTATATTTACTTATATTTATTATATCTTTTTTTCCGTATCATACATGCTTTTATGGAAGGAAATTTACAATGTTGTTCACTTGAACTGTGTTGTGATACTTCTGCACATGAAATGTCTGTACATTTCAAGCACATATCAATTTCATAGCAAAGAAGTTTCGTAATAACAGTCAGGTAATACTCAGTCAATAGAACATCTGAATAGCACGTGAAGCATTTGAATGATAGATGTTTGGTTCATGAAAATACTATAATAATCATCTAGAAAAATCGAAAAAACCACGAATCAAAACTATTTTTATAATTTATCTTTCCTTTTATCTTTGTATCAAAGTTGAGATTATCGTTCATAAATATCACTTTAAATCGTGAATTTTCGACTGAAAATTAAAATTTATTGGAATAGCGCATACTTAATTTAATGTAATATTAAAATTTATTAATTAATTTTACTTCCATGTACCGAACAAGATAAAATAATATAGCTGTTTACCTAGATCCATAAGCATAACATTACAGCTACCAATCTTTGATATATATTTAAACACAGTAATAGAAATATGATAATTAAAGTGGCATTAGTAATGTAATAATATAATTTTATGAATAACATATATAGTAAGATAATTATGTACATTAAGTACACAAGCGCATATGACCAATTTCGATGATTTCTTGATATATCGCAACAGTCGACGTTTTTATATTCATGTTACGAGACTCATGACAGTGCATGTGTCAGTGTACATCCGCAACATAATTACTCATAGCAACATAACAATATCGTATTTGAAATGGTACAATCAAAATAAAAAATAGTAAAAATAGTAGAAAATATTGTAGATAAATAATGATAAAATAGTAAAAGTCAACAATAACTTAACATTAACTATGCAATTAATATAAATAATTGCAATTTTCAATAATCGCAACAAAATAAATTACCTGAAATTAGTCATATTAATTTGCTCGATATCTCTGTCCAAGTCTGAATCTTTCATTCAACGAATACAATTTTCAATCGATCCACGATTCACTTTTCGTTTCAGCGATCTCGAATAGAGATTAAATCCTGGTCCGATATATTCCCCAACACCTAGTCGCGATTCGCGAAATTTTTACGTTCGTCTCGTACAAAGAACGCGTAATCTCCTGACCACGAGCACGTGCTAGAGCGTGAGATTTCGTCATCGAGATTCGCATCGAGCATGTCGCGAAATCGCGTTTCGTAGAGGCACGCGTCACGATTCTTCCGATAAAAGTCTGATAACGAAGGTAACAGAAACAAACGGTTACACACGATGACACTCGGATCGATTCCTATCCGTTACTGGTTCAACGTTCATTGAAGATGATTGCTCTTTCTCTCAATGGCATTTCGAGAGGCTTCGAACTTTCAGCGTATACGTATCGCGATACGCGATATCTTCGTTGCTTAATGAATAGGGAAGAATTCAATAGTCATGACGAAACTTCGAGGACAGTCTGGTGAGAAAGATTTCTATCGTTGATCTGTGTTGCTAACATTTGATTTACGGATATTTCTTGTACACTCCGGAGACACGCACCAATTTGACACATGCTCGAAATCGGATATTTTATTTACAAGGTAATTTAAAAAACAACGTATTTATACAATATTAATTTATAAATTAAACTGACATATATATTTGTATAAAATTTATGAGATTCAACATTTATTCCACGTTAATTCGAAGTTTATTCCGCTTCAATTTGGCGCATTCGGAATCAGATGTTTTCTTTGAAAAAATAATATCATTGTACAATATTAACTTATAAATGAAATTTTTAGATATATATTTATATCAAATTTACAATATTCTACATTTATTCCGCGTAAATTTGGCAGGTGAACGAAATTGGACATTTTATTTAAAATGTAACTTAAAAGACAACGTAATTATACAATATTAATTTATAAATTAGTCTATGAGATATATATTTATATAAAATTTATGAGATTCAACATTTATTCCACGTTAATTCGCAGTTTATTCCGCTTCAATTTGGTGTATTCGAAATGCGGATGTTTTCTTTGAAAAATAATTGAAAAAATAATATCATTGTACAATATTATCTTATAAATAAAATTTTGAGATATATATTTGTTTATAATTTATAATATTCAACATTTATTCCGTGCATCTTTTATACATATTCAATTTTGTAAACCCGGAGTGCTTCTTACGAGAAAAGCCATGGAAAACCATAGAAAATTATTTATATGATAATTATTATTCATAATGAAAAAATAAAAAATTGCAGAAAATTTCTTAGTGCTTAATATCAATACCTTTAGCCTGGGCTTATTTGTATGCCTTAAAGAGTCTCATGTGTGATCGATGGAATTAATAGGCACGATTTAAATGCCATAGTTCTGACTTTTATTTAGGATTCTTAAATATGCAAATTGATTACGATCAGTTGAGACACATAAATTAATTAAATTTACTTAACATGTAAATTAATTAGTCTTTATTAAAATATTCAAATTTATTGAAATTAATTAATTTAATGTGAGTTAGTCAGTTTTCTATAAAATATGCAAATTAATTCCTATTAGATAAAACAGATGAATTGATTAGCTTCATTTAAAACATTTGAAATGATTAGTTTTATTCAATGTTACTTAAGATCGACATGAATTTATTAATTAAGTTTAATTCATGATTTATATTCTTGTCCATGACCTCTTTCCTGAAGAATACGGTAGTTATAAAAATATAAAGAAAGAAGAGGAAAATATAACACTTAGTATTCTATTGACGTAAGTCAATGCTTGCTTATGTTAATATCGTGTCAACATAGTTTGCCTCGTCTCTGTTGAAATCCGTATTCAATTTTTATTCTTATAATCTTTTTACATTACTTGTACTTATGGTTACCAATGAAAATTATCACTATGTAAACACATTTCACAAATGTGTGTGGTTTACTTACTGGCTTGCTTCGTTTTCCGAAAACATAATCTTACTACGTATTCCTTGTTAACTATGGTCAAGTATTTATTTACGTGCGTGATTACTGAGCGAATAATTCGATATCAGTCATCTTAGAATTCTTCCAAACCTACGAATTTCACATCAGAACCGGAAAATTTCCCCAAAATTATCACAAATAGAACTCCACCGTTGTTATTATAGCAAATATCTAGTATAACTGAGCAGCAGGTTATTGTACGTTCAAAAATAAATAAAAAATGTAGAATAAAACTTTTTCCTTGAAGGTCACGTTTCTTAGGAAATATAGTTTTAAATATAGGTGGTTGGCGCTTCGTTAATAGTCACATTAAACGCACTGGGTGGGAGTTAGTTGAGTGCACGCACTCTCCCCGCATCTTTAAACTCGATTTTCTTACAAACAAAGCTCCAAACGCAAAAATTTTATTTTTCCTTTTCGACTTATTTTTTCTCGTAGAATAATATCCCATTATTTTTATTACCTATATCGAATTTTATAACGAGAATTTGCGCAGAATTAAATGTCTATCGTAGGAGCTAACTATTCAATCGATTCAAAATAATTAAAACTATTATTATTTATTATTATATTATTATTTTATTATTTAAAATTATTTAAAATTATTTAAAATTTGTTAGTGGAGTGTAATTTTAAAAATTTTTTGTTGTTACACAACATACACTAGCGGCCAAAATGAACAGTATACTGTCAGTCACCGATGATTGACATGGCACTTAACGTGTTAAATAATTTTCGTTCAAAAATTATTGCACAATGTATCATATCGAATTATCGTCTCGAATGTCAATAATCTTGAACATGTCGATAATGCTAAATCTATACTCCACGATACAATGGCAGAAACAATTCGTCATGGATTTAACACGTAATGCTTTCACACTCGAATGAAATACGTTTCAGGTGTCTTAACCAAACTGAACGATCCGTTTCAAAATATTTAATAATCCAACCGATTATATCTCGAAATGTCGTCAACATTAAATGTTTCAAACTCTCTCATTAATCATACCGATATTTTTGCTTCATCATGTTTAAACTTTTTAATATTTCATTTCAGAAACCTGGCACTCCACGCCGGACTCTCAGTCACCTGATTGGACTTTCGCTATACACCTAGATTAGTAACAGAAAAGACGTGAATGAGTGTTTTTCCATTTGGGAAATAAAAAGAAGTGATAAATTCTGTGTCCAGTAAATAGCAACAGACGTATTTTCTTTATTATTTTATATTAAAATATAATTAAAAAGGACTACAGTAGCCCCATCGCGGTTTCATTGGTGAACTATCTAGGCAATTTTTAGGGACCCAACGTGCGTGTTTGAAGATTGATTCGATATTTAAGAGAAAAAAATACAATTTTTTCACGCGGAACGTGGTCGAGTTATAATTCGTCGAAGATTTTCGAACAGTGTAATTTTGCAATTTATATTTAGTGAAGGTGTTACGAGTCTAGATCGGTAAAAATGCATCCCTCGCGTGCTAGACACGCGTTAGTCAAACATAGGAACGTGTTGCAAGTGTACCATGTTGCGAGAAGATGTTTTGGCACCGATGTCCAGTACAAGCCAATCAGGAGCGTCCTTGTTGCCAATCGAGGTGAGTTTTAATTTTCAATTTTCTTGTCTTTATTACTAATATATTGAAGAATAATTTGGAAAAAATTGCGTCGTCAATTTATTGTAATAAATTAATAATAATAAATAATAAATATTTATTAGTAATTTGTTAAAATTTGTCAAACGTTAAAATTCTTTGCATTAGATATAGTAAATTTTATTTTGCTTTATCGTACGCAGTGAGTGCAACTTTTATCAATCTTTGATTCCTGAAATGTAATCGTAATTCTTATGACTCGTACAGGATAAGTGTATGGTAAGAGAGACAATTTATTTAGTGGTTAGTTTAAATTATGTAATATTAGTTAATATTATATTATCGAAGTGAAAGGTAATCCTAAAAATATTTAGACGTATAAGTATAAACAAATTTTATGGAAAATATTTTCAAAGATATTCATGACAATTTGACGAATTTTAATGATTGGTATTTATATGATTATAAATTATTGACAATTGCTTTGAACATACTTCATTTTTATTTAGAAACTAATGAAATTTAAATTTGAAGTTTGCATTGTCAAATAATAATTATTTAATTTATATTAGATACTGAACTGTATTATTTGTAGGTAAAATCATTATTAAAACTTTATTTATAATACAGAAAGTGGTCTGATAATAACAAAATACATGATAATTTTTATTCCTTTTTTATCAAGGCAAAAATGAAAGTGATATGATAAAACGAATTGTCTATCGAGATAACTTTTTCTAGCAGTCATTTCTCAAAGAAGCAATCTGGATTATAAGTACATTATCGGGTATAAGTAAATATTTTGTTTACTCGGAATTATTTACTTTTTATATTTTTCTTTCGCTATCTTCTTATATTTTTAGTGTTTTTATCGAAGTATATAGAATTATTTAGTTTACTCGGCATACACATCATATTAACTAGAATGAATAGCATTCTAGTTAATCGATTAATTTATAATTAATATATATTTGCGAAATAAATTTATAAATACATATATATTTAAATGAATAATAATCATAGAAGTAATATATTTACAGAGACATGATTAATTTCTACTTTTCTGAATATAAATATCTATACGTAAATTTAAATAAATATTTTTGTCGAATAACAATGCTGAACAAAATTTCAAAGGAAATTAAGTATTTGAAATAATATTTCAAACAATAGTTAGTATTAAAAATATCGTAAATTGTAAATGATGTTATTAAGTAGCATCAATAACGATAGTGTGATTCGAAGGCAATACTTACATCAAACTTAATTTTCGTTTTACTTATTTAAAAATGGTGTCTTTCGATTATTTATTTTCTACCATTATGTGAAAATAATGAAAAAAAGATGAGAACAAATTCATGATCAAATTTAAGCATAATTCAAGTCACAAGATTATACTTAAAAACATACGTAAAGAATGAATGTCAAAGTTCAGAAACATAAATCTATTTATTGCAAGAGAAAGAGAGAGAGATGAAGATAGATTTAGAAAATTATTTTGGTAATTTGATACAATAATGAAATTAATTAGTGACTGATTAATATCTCTATGTGTTCAATGTACTCTAGATATATTGAGTTTAATTTCATACACGATTGTTTTCTATTTCAAATGCCTGTAGCCAAAATTTGATATTCTACTGTTGCAATACTAATACTACTCATCTACTTCTTGTCACATCGAATTTAAACCATTCTCGTGTCTATCTTTAGCTCGAGTCGTAACTGACCCACTAATGACAAACCAGTTAAAGATTTCACAATTAAATACAAAAGACGAATTAAGATTATTATTAACGTCTGTACATTATTAACGTATCCCTTACAATTTTCAGATAACCTTATATATGAAATGCAAACGTAATTTTGATTATGAAGACATATTTCCAATGGAAACAAAATTTATTATATTAATAGAATCAAATTTAGAATAAAATTACTTCGAGTAGGTGTAATTAAACTGCGATATGAATTTATTTATCTACGGACACTTTTCGAGACTATATAATCGAGAAATAGTTCGATGAAAATTTAAAATCCAAGTATTTACAAATCGAAACTATTTTCACACTTTTAACACCTCATTGTGGCAAATATAAAATAATAAAAACCGAAAATTACGAATTTTCAGATTTTTTACAGTAATACGTTGAATTACTCACAGGGAAAACTAAAGACTATAGTATCACCATTTTATCATGTACTATACTCTATAGATTTTAACGGGAAAACCTGCAACATCCTACGTATGAAAATATCCATCTTTACGTTATACAATTATCTGTATTCAGTAAATTAAAAAGCATAATTAAATATATATGTATATATAAAATTATGCATATAAATATTATATATTATATTTATTGTATTGTATTAATAGTGTATAGAATATTATATAGAATTATGTACAATGAGTCGGTAAATATATTTCTATTTCTACTTTGTTTATATTTTATATACGTTTATATGTGTATATGTGTATGTATATAATATTATTGCTTAACAAAACAGGAATATACTACCTGATTCATTTTATCCAATTTTTAATACATCATATATTGATATATGTCAACGATGCAAAAATTTCTATATATATATATATATATATAT